TTTTTGAGTACGGGTATAAAAATGTAATCTATCAGAAAAAGTCGGTTTTGTTCGAAGCGTAAATAAAAAGTTACATTTTGTCGAGTATTGTAATTTTCGAAAAGTAAGGAAAGAAAAAGATTGTAATTTTGTTAAAAGTTTTTTGAACACATATGTACATTTTAAAATTTTACCTCATGACTTAATACCAATATTATTAATCCTTAAAGCTCACACAAAACCCTCTTAGTGATAAAGTATCTGATTTTAGTTGGGGCCCCAATTTTTTTCTGCACCGCGGCCCTTTCCTACCTAGCTACGCCACTGATCTGATCTCAACTATGCTTGCCAAATTACACTTCTCAACAAAATTGAACTTTTTCTTCCCGCTGTGGACCAAAATGACTTTTTCTGATAAAAGATCTTTAGATCTTAGAGATCTAAGGATTCAATATCGTTTTCCGACTGAATTATAAATTTATGTGGTCATCCCATTTTCACGATCCATTTCTAAAAATCTGATCCATGAATACTTGCATCACCATCACTGATCGCTGATCAAGCTGTGCGTCCTGGTGAACGCGCCCAATTTCTTGATATTATTTAACTATTTCATATTAAAAATAATTTTTTATTTCTGCCTATAAATGTTATTACACACAAGAAATTGATTATGATGTGGTAATTAATGTGGTTAATACCGTGAGCATTCCAAAAAACGATCGCCATGACTTTATGGTCTGAAAAACCCACGTTGGCCTTCTTTTGCCTAGAATCACCCTGAGAAACCCACTGTTTCGACTGCTTTGATTTTTTGTGTGTTTTGGTGGATCTACGGTTTAGCCAGTTTGTGGTCGATTGTGAGCAAACGCGGCAGCCATCATGCGGAAAGCTTTCTCATACCCAAGTGATCATTCGAAATTGAAACCACTTAGCCATGTGGTTGCCTATGGCTTCCAGAATATCTGTTCAAAAACTGACATTTGTGACGTAGATGAGCAAAATGAGTACAAAATGGCGGCATTCTTTGCGCTATCTTGTATTTCTGTATCGTCGCTTTAAAATAATCTGTTCCAGTTCTTAGATTATAGCATTTTACTAGACGAAGCCAAAGTCGAATTCTATTTCGCGTACGTTCGCGACCCCACGCTTTTTGCAATTATTATGAAACTCGATGAGCCTCGTAATTTAAACTAAGCATAGAGCTAACCAAATGCTATCGAATGGTAAAAAAAAGTGTGGAAATCTTTTTTATTTTCTATTTTTTTTATTATTATTTTATTATTTTATTTTTATTTTTGATACCTTTGCTTCCATTTCACGAAAAATCTAGTCAAATCTCTAGTAAACTACTAAACTTCGGCCAGCTCATGTACTTTTTTTTAGCTATAAATTGTGATTTGTAAGGATTCAATTATGTTTCATTAAATATAATCGAGGGGAAATGTTGTGAGTCGAGCCTAAGCTCCTCTTCCGCCGCGCCACCACTTTTATACCCGGTACTCAGTCAGCATATATAAATACGAGTATGTATGTGAGCTTATGATTTTTGTCGAGCCTAAAAATATTTTATCTACTTATATCAGTGTTTCGCAAAATTTTTGTGTTCAAATAACGAATTTTTGGAGGAACACCAAAGAAAAAAAGCTAGGTTTATTTATAATTTGTTTATTACTATAATAAAATAACTGTACCCTGCCACGTTTCGCTGTGGCGTGTTGTGGTGGCACGTATAAGAAATGAGGAACACAAAAAAGCATAAGTCTTAAATGCTTTTAATTTTGTAATACTTGTGGGTATACAATATTTTTCGTTTCTCCATTCTGCGCGTAAGTATGAAGGCTATCTGGTTTACCGACACGGGAACACCCAACATGCAAAAGCAATCCGCATCTAAATCTAAACCACACAATTGCACAGATTGACCTTTATTATTACCTTTATTAATTGTCGAATGGGAAAGTGCAATCTTTTGAATTGAAATGGTGTATCAGTCGGGATCATGGGAGTCCTGGGAATGAAGACATCTTTACCTTCTTCCATTCCTGCCACCATTTTCTGCTTAAATACCAAAACCTTCCATATCGCTTCCTTTATTCACGTACTTGCAGTATATTTGATCGTGTAGCTTGTCCCCTGCAACGATAGTTGCTATAGCTGTGCCACTCGAGCTGGTCTGGGTTCTATATACTACAAGGCACTTTGGGGAAAATTCCAATTTTACGGGTATTAATTAATAGCTTTTAAACTAAGCAAGATATTTCGATGCGGTTTTATATGTCATATGCACGCCTAAAAACATTTTTGGAAAAATTTTTTTTTTAATTATGCTAAAAAACTGAATATTTATATTAATATTTATTGACTATAATACTCCTTTATACATAAAAATAAAGTTTTACTATTGGAAAAACTTCATTTTGATGAAATTCAGGAGCTAAAGAAAAAATAGTTAATATTAATAGAAATTTTCTTAATTGTTAATTTCTTCATCACACATAAAAAATTAAACGTCAAATTCATTTTCGAAATCCTCAAAAGTTTGATCTGGGCCTTCAATTTCACATAATAAGATAATTAACAAATCGATGGGAAGGGCTGCTTGCTGCTTGAATCAACAAAGAGACGTTGCACTCTTGATAGAGAGCACTTTTTGATAGACCTGCTGCTTTTTTTTTTGCTCCTTCTCCTTTAAACAAGTAAGCCAACTTTGGATAACCAATTTGTCGATTATTGTTCCTATTTGATTCGCTCGTGTATAATTTTGTTGGGCTCAACCAATTTTAATCCTCTTTTCAAAATATTTTCCGTTCCGCATGCATTTTTCCATTTTTGTATTACAATTTTTGACAAAATTTGAGTTTTGTTCTTTAAATATAAAAAACATGTTTTATAACATGAATGGTTTTATTTAATCTCCTTTTAAAAAAATCATTAATTGCATTTTCTTGGTCGGTTTTGCCTTTTTCCTTGCGCCATACATCAAACAGCTCTGCGTTTAAAAACTCGAAGTCCACATTGAGACAAACTGCCTTTAAATTAAAATGGATAGTTCTACGACATACAATTGGACGTACACTTATGGACCCTTATGGTCGTTTTATAATTCTTCACGAACCTGAAATATATTTCCAAGAAATGTGCTTTGAGAACGTTTACTAATTTTAACAAAATATTAATAGAACACGCACAACTACAAGGTATTAGTACAACCATTACATAGTATAAGCCCGTGTGATTGCTATCCATTTTAAATTTCACAAAAAGAATGTTTCGCGTTTGAATATTGGCATTTTGAAAATAGGCTGCAAAAATATTGCAATCTTAAAGCAAGTGCTTTTCTGCAGCAACAGCTGTCTTTAACAGCTGATAGACTTAACATTGTTCTGTGATATAGAACATTTTTATACCCGTACTCAAAAAAGAGTTAAGGGGTATATTGTATTTGTTGTAAAAGTGGATGTGTGCAACGCAGAGAAGGAAACGTTTCCGAACCCATAAAGTATATATATTCTTGATCAGCATCAATAGCCGTCTGTCCGCCTCTGCCTCCGCCTCTGCCTCGTTCAGTGCGCGATCAACCCCTAGCGGAGGAGATGTAGAATATAAATGGTACATCTATAATCTACATGTTAGATGTAAAATATACATTGTAGATGTAGATAGCAGATGTAGCAAAAAAATGTAATATATTTGTTTTAATTCTAAAATTCTAAACAATTCTGCTCAAAAATGTATATACGACTGAGTACGGGTATAAGTTGAGTCGCGTCCCCAGAAGCGACTCACACGTTCCTTCTCGTTGCTATTGGAATTTACAGTTTGAAGTGTTCTTAAGGTGTTACCAAAAAAAACCAATTTTAATACTTTGAGAAAATGAATAAATACCCGAAAAATGGGAATTTTCCCCATAGTGGCAAGGGTGCACACGCTGGTTCCGGCTGTATTATTGATAGTAGGAGTGGGTTGCAATATTGGCTTATGAATACATGCTCGCTGTCTGTGCCGAATCGTATTTTTTTTTCCGTGTGCATACTATTGATTGGACCGTTTAAAGCCACGATCATGTGTTTCCTGGACAAATCGCTGAACTTTGCCGTTGTGTTGAGAGAGGACTTTCATCCCTCGTCTGGAGAGGATTATCTTCGTCAGTTTTTCTTACTGATAGCCGGTAGAGAAAACTGCTTCTTTCCGTTCCCGCCGGTGGTAGCAGTCGTGTCTTCCACAAACTTTTGTGCTGACTACACAACCCGAGTTGACTGAAACACTGATTCACCCTGCCACCATCCACCATCCATGAAACATCTGATGCATACAATTTGGTGCGGAGGAAAATTAAAATGAATTGAAGCCGTTGAAAAAGAAGAGAAAATACTAGTATGCACATGCAAATTTGCGAGCTGTACCAAACTAGGATATATTAGCCGAGGTCGATGATGAGAGTTGATGAGACGTCCAGGTGGACGACGAAATGGGTCAAAACTCTCGGGCTCCAGCAGGTGGTGCGTGTTGACATCATTCACAACGGCTGAGACTGTATCATGAAAGTCGAATCAAGAGCTCGGTTGCTGATGCTCTTGTGACCAGAGGTGCAGAGTGGCTGATATCTTGGCGGAGTCTATTCGAGCGGTCCTTGTGAGACCTCTGAGTTGTAATGCGGTATTGGCCTGATGTGAAACCGTGTGTGCCAGTTGTGAGGCGGAGATAGCCTGTCCTGGGGTCTTGTGTGCCTTGTGGAAAGGATATTTTTGGTTGTGAAATGATGCAACAGATCGAATTTTGAGAATGGACAAATGTTGATTCTTGGCTCAGATTGTAGTGTTGGGTAAGATCGAGATAATGAATAAACCAAGATTTGAGCAAGATTATGATCCAACTTAGTGTTGCAGAGTAAAGTAGAAGATCAAGGGAATTTTTGTGTGTATTTTCTTAATCTATGTTGTAGAGTTCCTGCAGAGACATCTCCGACACATACAAGCTATATTTAGATAACGGACTATTGAGATTAATATGGTTGCATTTATTCAGCAATAAGTAGTTCATTTTGATATAATGATTAAATTTATTTAAATGATTAATTTATATTGCACTGCAGAACAGATTTGTATGTTGCTGCCAATCAGCAGCGAACCACTAAAAGACTAACTTATCCAACACAAACTTTCGGTTGCCTCTGCTTTCGATCAGCATAAATTAATGCTGACCTTGCGCCTCGTGTGTGGTGTCCGTTGCAGACGGCCGGGATCCCACGATCGACGGATCTGCTTACTTGGAAGATATACAGAAGTTGATCTGCCCAGTGGCCAATTTGGTTGACAGTCGTTAATTTACATACCTTCATACATATGTTGGTTTTTATCTTCGGAGCTTTGCGCAACAGGGCCGTCTAAGCTCTAGGAGTCTAGACTCTAGAGTCTAGACTAATAGCGAACGAGAGATGCGAGTGAGCGGGGGTTGGAGCACTACCGAAGCAAGTGCGCAGAGACTATGAGAGCTAGAGCAACCGAATTTTGTGGGCAAGAGAGACAGATGTAGCGGAATAAAAACAGTAGCGAAATAATGGAAACCGATAAAATATGCTGAAATCGGACTGACTGAGCAATGGGTATAAATGTAGAGGCGCGGCTTTAGACACGGCTCACAACGTTCCGCCTAGAACTTTTCACCCTGCGCCTTGATGGTGATGTTGTGCACCTGCAAAGAATAGGGACGTCAGTAAGTACAATATGTAGGCAGAGCGTAGGACAGCGCACCTGTACGTTGGGTGGAGTACCGATGGTCCAGAGCACCGCATCGGCTACATCTTCTGACTGTAGCATAGGCATGTATTGCTTGATGCACGTCTGGATCTGCTCGGGCAAGATGTCCGTGTCGACAATGCCAGGACTGATGGTCTGCAATTTATTTGTAGTGACGTCATTGCTAAAGTGATGGTAAAGGGAAGTGTCATCTTACCGAAACCCTGACACAGGTTTTGCTGCGTTGAAACTCCTGACGATATATTTCGCTCATGGCGCGGAGCGCAAACTTACTGGCCGGATAAATATTGAGTGAGGGGAGCTGAGTACCTAAGTTGGGCACATGCTGTCCCGCCACGCTGTTCACGATGACCACGTGACCCTCGGCCCCGCGCTGTCTCATCGATTGAAAAGCCTCGCGGATGCAGTAAACACTGCCCATGACGTTCGTTTCTATAGTTTCGCGCATAGCTGCAGTGTTGGACTGACCGCTTAGCTCTCCGGTGGCAATGATGCCTGCATTGTTGACCAGCACGTCTACGCCACCTAACTGGCGTTGTGCCCAGTCAAATGCTGCCATTACCTGCTCCTCATGCGTAACGTCGCACCTCAGCCCGTGCAGACGCTCCTGCTCCTCCTCGGGTAATCCTGCCCGCAGCTGCTCAATTCGCTCCTGGCGACGCGCCAGGCCGACAACTACCAGACCAGCACCGACCAAAGCGCGCACACAGGCCGCACCAATGCCAGCACTGGCGCCAGTCACTATCGCCACTTTGTTGCGCCAACGTTCCATGGTGCCCAACGACTAAACTTCAGTGGCGTGCTGGTTTTAGGTCTGGCCTCTACTTTTCTGCTGCGGAGAATAGGGATGACAACGCATCGACGAAGGAAGCCATAGAACTAAACCGTCGGCTGTATCGATTTCCCCAGAAGTTGATTGGTGAATTAGGCCGAACTACTTAGCATCAGCCACCTCCCCCCACCCTAATAAACTCGCAAGAAAAAATCGGTAAGCGGTCTAAATTTTTTTTTTTCAGAAAATGTCAACGTTTTGTGTTTTTTTATATTAAACTAACGGACCCGGTGAACGTTGTCTCGCCCCATTTTTACGCCTTCAGATAAACTTCAGATTGATAATAAACGAGAAGTAACGTGTGAGTCGTGTACCCGCACTCAGTCAGTAAATACACTTTTGAGCTTATGATTTTTTAGAATTAAAAAAATACATTTTATATTTTTTTGCTACATCTGTTATCTACATCTACTATGTATATTATACATCTAACATGTAGATTATACATGTACCATTTAGATTCTTCATCTCCTCCGCTAGGGGTTTCTCGCGCACTGAACGCGGCAGAGTGTGCGAGCGAGAAAGCAATAGGTAGCGGGTCTCTTGCAGGAGGGGGCGGAAGAACCAACAGAAAATTAATTTCTTCATTCTGGCTATATTTATGATCCGATCTGATTCAGATCCGGCAATCTGGTAGATATGGGCATTCTCTACGATACTGCGGTTTTAGTTTTATCATATCTTTAAAATTGTGCCTGCCACAGATTTTCGTCCTTTGTGGGGCGTGGCGAAATTTTGAAATACACTTGTAGCAGTGTGATATCACATGAGTCTGGAAACCTAATTTGGTTGCCCTAGCTCTTATAGTCTCTGAGATCTAGGCGCTCAACAAGACGGACAGACAGACAGACGGACATGGCTATATCGACTCGGCTATTGATGCTGATCAAGAATATATATACTTTATGGGGTCGGAAACGTTTCCTTCTCTGTGTTGCACACATCCACGTTTACCACAAATACAATATTCCCCATAACTCTTTTTGAGTACGGGTATAAAAATGGAGAGATAAAAATGTATAGTGCATCATAACCTGAGAACGGCTGGGTAGATTTGGCTTAAGTTTTTATTCATTTGTTCGTATTTGCCAGAAGAATGTTTCTACGTAAGAAAAACCATCGATAGCGAATAAAAATGGATTTTTAGAACGGCACACAGTGGCTCGTTTTCTCAAAACACTATGCAAAATTAATAACTTTTGAACCCGGCTAGGTCTAAGTCTGAAATTTAATACATTTATTTGCAATACTTACAATAATTTTTTTAAAGAACAATGAAAGTAACAGTTAAACTCGAAATTTCGTTGTTTTACCATCATAAAAAATATAAATAAAATTGAACAGCATGCAAATATATTTTTCTACAGCCAATATTAATTTTTAATAAATTTCTACTAGTAAAAAGGAAAATTTTTTTTAACTATTTATTTTACACTTTTTGAGCTGATAGCACGAAAAAGTTAACGTCCAAAACACGTCAAAAAAAAATATTGAACAATCGATTTTTTTAGGTTTTTTAATCATGAAATAGAGATGTAATCGAAGCGTTTTTCGATTATATTAATATTCCGCTAAAAATTAAAAATAGTGCAAAAAATTACGTTTCTTAAAAAAATCTAATAAAATATAATCGCAAAAAAATATTTCCTTTTTTGTTTAAATTCATATTTAAGATTTGTTTCTTAAATAAGGGGAAAAAATGTTTCTCCTAGCTTGAAATACTTTTTGAGAAAAATGCATTAACCTTTGCCCTTTAATCACGGTTTTCTTCATTTTTTCAAAAACATAAAAATGGTCCAACTTTGAACAACGATTATAAATCTTAAAAATTTTTTGTAAATTATTCTGGTTTTGAATAGTTTGGTCAATTACTAATTGAAGTGTAACAAAAATTTTCCCAAATTCAACAACGCGATATCCGACTTTTGCAACGAGTTTTCGGAAAACGAGCCACTGTGGGGCGCCTGACTTTTCGTTTTGAAATATAAATCTTTTTTTTGTGAAAGTGAAAACCGGATCCTGCCTGATTATGTAGATGTGAAAATCATTTCCTAAAACTATTGGAAATGATTTTTTAAGCTTGGCATCATGTTTTGCACGTATCGCTACACCATTCTCCGACGATTTCAAAATAGTGGACTCCATCGGCTTTCGACACCATTTTATTTTTTGGCTGGTGTTCCCAACTTAAACGTCCCAACTACATGTACAGATGGTGTAGAAGTGGCTACGCTCGGCATGCTGACCAATGTCGATGCACTGGTCAAGTCCGATGTAATTACGCCACCATACCTTACAAACTATGTTTGGAAATATCGTGGTGTCACTTAGAGAACAAATCACACGTCCCCGCATTAATACTACCGCATATAAAATTACAGCACGATAAAAGACATCGACCACAGTGATACATGCGTTACATGCCATATTTCACAAGTCCGCCACCACACCTCACAAGTCACGATACCTTACACTCCCCTAACTAAAAAAAATTCTCAGCAAAATTAATAATAATTTACATTGACAAAATAATTTCCATACATGCCCACTGTGCCACAACGTGACCATAGACATACGACACATTATATGCAACTGCCCCTCACTCGCCACACAAAGATCTGCAGCTTTTAATAAAATTACTACACACAACACTAATACCCAAATAATCCTTAAATTCTTAATAGATTAAAAAATCCTTCACAAAATATAAAATATAATATAACTAAAACTGTAACCATTCTGTAACTATTTTTGTACATACTCAATCTTAACCACTCATCATCGTGAGCTTAAGGCCCCAGTTGCTATACTATAACTCCAAATTATATTAGTTTTTAGTTTTAACTACTTATTAGCACTATGGAAATAAATAGTTTTCAGCGTAAAATTCACACTAGTTTTTTAATTATTTGAAAATTAAGGTGCGTCAGGTATAAGGAGCATCCCCTGAACAAAAATCGTAGTGACTCAAAGGAACATTTTGATTTGTATGAATAAAAATTGATTTAGTCTTATATTAAACTATCAACCAAGTCACAACCTTTTGTCCCCTTCCGCACTCATGTAAAAATGTTCACCTTCTTATGTCAGTGGCAATCCAAAAGCCATTTATCACAGCCGACGCACAGTGGGGCCTCAAAATAAAAGAGTTGGAAAAGGTAATTTTCTGACAGCGCTTTGGATAATTTAAATATACGCATTTGATAGAGAATTTTCCAAGGATTTCGAAATGGAAATTTCAAAAAAATCAGTTTTTATACCCGTACTCAAAAAAAATTAAGGGGTATATTAGATTTGTGGTAAAAGTGGATGTGTGTAACGCAGAGAAGGAAACGTTTCCGACCCCATAAAGTATATATATTCTTGATCAGCATCAATAGCCAAGTCGATAGAGCCATGTCTGTCTGTCCGTCTGACCGTCTGTCCATCCGTCCGTCTTGTTTGTCGGCTGGATCTCAGAGACTATAAAAGCTAGAGAAACCAAATTTGGTTTCCAGACTCATGTGATATCACACTGCTACAAGTGTATTTCAAAATTTCGCCCCGCCCCCTTCCGGCCACACAAATGACGAAAATCTGTGGCAGCTACAATTTTAAAGATACGCTAAAAACGCAGTATCGTAGAGAATGACCATATCTATAAGGTTGCCGAATCTGAATCAGATCGGATGATAATTATAGCCAGAATGAAGAAATTAATTTTCAGTGGCTTCCCCCAGCTCCTTCAAGAGACGAGCTACTCATTCTCTTTCTCACTCGCACACTCTGCCTCGTTATGTACTCGAGCGCCCTATATCGGAGGAGATGTAGAATCTAAATGGTACATATAGAATCTACATGTTAGATGTAGAATATACATTGTAGATCTAGATAACAGATGTAGCAAAAGAATGTAAAATGTTAACCTTTTTTTTTTTAATTCTAAAATTTAAAAAAAATCATAAGCTCAAACATGTATATACTGACTGAGTACGGATATAAGTAGAGTCGCGTCCCTAGAAGCGACTCACACGTTCCTTCTCGTTAGTTTAGGAGATATGAGCATTCAAAGTTGACGATTTTTTCACTGAGCAGAATTGTCTGAATTCTTATACACACACTGGATCTTTCAGATCAAATAATTATAAATGAATTATAAATTATTAGTAATAATAATAATTGGCAATAATTGGATTTTTGGAAACCCTCCTAAGAAAATTTAAAATTTCAAACTTTCTATTTTTTTGTGTGTTATTTTTTAACTTTGATATCATGTAGAAAAAACTATTCGAAACTACTCTCCATATTATTCTTTTTTTATTTTCTTTGGATTTTTATAATTGCGCCGGTTTACGCAATAGGTCCGTATAGAGCGATTTGTGTCGCATCCTTGCACGAAAACAGCCAAAACAGCGCTACGCAGGTCTAAGAATAAAAACAATGGGCCAAATTATGAAATAAAAAAAAAATTGTATTTCTGTGAAATTCAATTAAGGTACAAAATAGATACAAAATTATGATCTTTTTTAAAATTTTAAATTAAAAATTTTCTTATCCACAAAAAAATATATATATACGTATATTGATAATTTTACATAGGAATATATGCACTGACAACAAAATTCAACTTTACATTACCCGACACCATTTCGTTACTAACTACAAACATCGTACTGTTGGCACTGTTCTTTGAACAATGTTCCTCTCTTAAAATTAAACCATACACTACGAAATTTTTTTTTTTAAGTTGCAGAAACTGTAAAAATGTTACAAAACTTTAACTTTGATTCGCTATATATTCATGTATATCTGTTCTATCACCACGAATCAAAAATCCTGTGAAAGGTGGTACAATTGCCTTGTCAACGTTTTGTTTTTTGTTGAGATTTTGAGTAAAAATTATAAAATAATATGAAATCACAAAAAGTTTGGGTCTTATTTATAGAAATGCTTCTTAGCACTTTAGAATGGCAAATTTCATTACAACCAAATG